GCTATTACCTAACAGCTGCTCGCGATGGAGGTTGCCCTAAGATAGCGAACCACTGGCAGTGACCTCCGCCCGCCGGCAGGAGCCGGTGCTCTCTTCCCCTTTCCCTTTCCCCTTCTGTATATATCTTGTATAATAAATATTAGAGTAAGACTTATGTAAACCCGCTACATCATCAGGTAAAGGAGTAGCTAGCCTTTATCCTGACAAGGAGCTGTTATGCACGTTACTGCAAAGCCGGCGTTCAAGCTGGAACTCCTACCTGTCTGGCTAGCGCGATGATTCTACCTTCAAACCATTTCGACGACACACTCTTGATTCTAGAGTTGCTTTGCCTTGATGTATTTCCTAACACAAGGTATGTATGTCAAAACATGCTACATCAAAGCCTCACTGATTTTTATTCTCTTGAAAGGTGATTTGTCGCACGGATTGGTTTGCGCAGCCGAAAGCTTTAAGCAGATAGAAGAAGCGGATAACATACACAATGAAAAGAATGGAATATTCAGATATGCGCACAAAATAACCCCTTTGGACAAAGTTTTTATTCCATAATCAGAGCCCACTTGCTGTATGCTTACCGTAATCCTGCTAGATGTCAACGCGCCAGGAGAGTCTTGTAGACTCGTGATCAGCGCGCTAAACCCTACGAGACCAAATTTTAGCCAATTTTGTGATTTCATACCACTTACCGTATACCCACCGTATTGCTCCAGATGGCACCAACGCGCGTGGTAAATAGACTGCCCGTTCCCCAAAATGACCCCAGTGTACAAAGTTTCAGCTAATTTTGTCACTTTGGCCCACATACCATAAAATTACCGTAACCTCGTCAGATGCCACCGCAGTATAAAACATACGTGATCGGTACACAGTGACCCGCGATCCAAGTCTCGGTCAATTTTGTGATCTTCTCTTGTCTACCGTAAACTTATCGTAACCCCGCTATATGACCCCATGGTGGAAAATGAATATACATTCGTGTCCAGAGCACGGAATAAGCTCTTGGGCCAAGATTTCACAAAAATGTAAAATTTTGTAAATAACAGCGCACCAAAAGTCGATGCACGAAATCGCCCGGGTCGCTGTAGACAATGCGCACGCGAGCGTGCGTGCAACACGGCTGCCGAGTACGGACGCTAAGGTGAAGGACTATATGTCGCCAAAAGTGGATGGTTCCATGCGGACATCTGCGACTAGCAGCTCCACTCATTACAAACATAAAGGATTTGTACTGGCTGTCCGAGCGGGATGGAGCCTATTTGGCGACATGTATTCCCCCACCTCGTGCGCTATGATGACTCATGCGCGCGAAAGCCAATGTTAGCCCACAAGAGACACGCTGGCGGCGTTCATCCGGGCGATTCCGTGCAGTCGTACCCCATCATGCTGGCAGAAACTACGTGAAAAATGTACTCCAGAAGACTTTTTTGCTGCTCCTTTTCTTTTGTGCATTATTTCTCTTTCTCTGACCAAATTCAGAGTCGGCTCTGAGTTTCACGGTAGATTGAAACGCGTATCAAACTCGGAGTTATCGCAGACTTCAGTTGCGCTTTGATGGCGCATTTTCTTGAATGTTTTGGGCAATATTTCCTGATAGCGGTGAACTACCGGTTACGGGGTATCCTATCCATATCATCTAGCTCCAGTTGCTCAATTCAAGTACCTGTTAAGGGCGTCACAAAAGTGCGCGTTAGCTCAGAGATAGTTAAGAGTTAACTCCCAAGGGAATGGTCAGATGTCGTAGTGTCAATCTATACTAGCTGCATAAAATTAGATGCAGCATAAAACGCTGACTTCGAATCTGCATCACATATCCACTTAACGCCTATTGTGGGCGAAGTTATGAATCGTTAAAGTCCGTTATAATGCTAAGATTGTGTATACAAAGCGCAAATTTAGCAGTACAGATCCATGCGTTCGGCTAATGCTGGGTCAAAACATGTACCTAAGTTACTTTATCTTCTTAAAGTCTAGAGGTGAGCTGAATGTCCAACAATGTGCTCACTTTCGCAATTTTTATGTACGTTTTTCGCAGTAAATTTGCTAATAACTTCGTCCAAGGCAGCAGATATGAGTACAGATTCAGCGTCAAATGCTGCATCGAATGGTGGGCAGCTTGCTTGGACTGGCCACTTCGGCTTCTGATCGTATCCTTGTCAGAGGGTGTGAGTTTCGACAAGTTTACTACCGATCCTGATTTTTCCAACCGACTTGCTTTCTTTTGAATCTTGTTTGAAAAAACAAACATAATCTTTATTTTAGTATCACAGCGGCTTTCTACTGACCAGGGAGAGTTCCCAAGTCAGCTCGGCCAACCCGGATGAGTCATATATCGTTGTAACGGGCTTGAAACGCTGATTCCAATCTGCTCTCCTTTTCTGCGGAGCGACTTTCCCAGAGAAGTTATGAGCGTTTAAATTTCTAAATTTGTCATGTTTTAAGTAGCTTAAAATTGGCGAAACCTGTACGATAACACATGAAAGTGATTTATCAGTTTTATCAAGTATATTGATTAAAAGGACGGAACACAGATAATGAAATTCCGATTCCGTTAGGTGTTGTTCTACAGCTTTCAACTGATTTTAAGCCACTCTGAACATGACAAATTTAGACATTTAAACGCTCATAACTTCTCTAGGAAGGTTGTTCCGCAGAAAAGGAAAGCAGATTTGGAGTCGGCGTTTCAAGCCCGTTACGGTGATATATGACTCATCCGGGTTGTGAGCTGACTTGGGAACTTTCCCTTGTGAGCACTAGATAGAAAGAATCGATAGAAGGAACTTGCTCATATTTGATTCTTGTGCATGGTCGCAAAAGATCTTAACCTTGCATTGAAAACTGGAGCAATAAGTACTACAGGTTTTAATACATTTTCTTCCTGACCGTGCAAAGTTTGAGTGATTTCAAGTCTCTATCAAAAGTTGTGAGTTTGAGCATGCGTACAAAACAGCAAATTTGATTAATTTGTGCTCAAACATCACAACTTTTGATAGAGACATCAAATCAGCACAAACCTTACTCATCTAAAAAGAGCAGCTGCAAGTTTTAGATATTTTACGACCAACAATAAACATTGATACCCAGAAAGTATCTTGCTGGCTGAGCTTATGAGTCTTTTCCCCTCGAGACCATGCTATCTGTGCTGTTTTGTTTTTAGGGGTAGAAGTAGGGGTCTTGCAGGGTAGAATGGCCACAGGTGAATTTCAAACAAGTTTCTGTATAATAAAACATCGACACCCAGAAACTTCTGGCGAAAATATCTTGCTGCCTGAGGCCATAATTCTTTCTTCCCTCAAGGCCAAGCTCCTTGTGCTTTTTTGCTTTTAGGACCAGAAGTGTGGTTTTTGCGAAGTTTGGGAGTCAAACGTCCCAGCGAAAATGTCGGATGAAGCTCATGGGTCTGTCTTTCCCTAAAGAGCACTACGTGCTTTTTTACTTTCAAAAGCAGAAGTATGGTTTTTGCAAGGTAGAAAGGCCAGAAGTGAATTTTAAGCAAGTCTGTATGAATAAACATTGACAGCCACAAATTTTCAGCGAAACATCTTTATCTTATTATCTTGCTGCCTGAAGCCATGATTCTTTCTTCCCTCGAGACCAAGCTCCCTGTCTTTTTTGCTTTTAGGGCCAGAAGTGTGGTTTTTGAGTTTCGTGGTTTTTGCGAAGTTTGGGGGCCACAAGTTTCAGTGAAAATGTCCTTTGGGATGAAGCTCTTGGGTTTGTCCCGCCAGAGACCACTTTTCTGCTTTTAGAGGCAACAGTATGGTTTTTGCAGAGTGGAAATGAAAGAAGTAAATTTCAAGGAAATTTCTGTATAATTAGATAATGACTCGTAGAAAGTCTTAGCGGAAATATCTTGCCGCCTGAGTTTATAAGCCTTTTCTTCCTTCGAGACCAAGCTTTTTGTGCTTTTCTGATTTTAGGGGCAGGATTTTAAAAGGTGAAGGCGGGCAAAAGTGAATCTATAACAACTTTAGGTAAATTTACCGTCTTCGTCAATTCCGAGTGTGATATTATAGAATTCTCAGCATGCTCACTTACCCCCGGACCAGTGCCATCTCAGCCTCATAGCTTCAGCTTTGAAGAAAAGATGAAATCAGTAAAAGTAATGGGTATTCTCAAAAACGGTTACTATCTTTGCAGTGAGCGCGCTCACATACAACTTTGTGCCAAATGCCAGCCGTGTAGCTCTAATTTTACAAAGAATAGAAAAATCGACAGAAATAATAGGTACTTTCAAGAACACTTATTACAATCGTAATAGGCATGCTCGCTTCTTCCCGTGTGCCAAATCCCAGTCCCATGACTTAAACTTTACAAAAAATCGGTAAAGCCAGTGAAGGTAATTGATAACTTGTAAAATAAGAATGTGTTTGTCAGCAGCATGCTCAATTACCTGCCTGTACCAACCTCCAGCGCCGTGGTTCAAACATTGCAAAAAATCGAGTAAACCAATAGAAGTAATGAGCTTTTTTGAAGATGGTTATCATATTCGTAATCAGCATGCTCGACTACCCCCCTGTGCCAACTCCCAGCCCCGCAGCTTGAACTTTGTCATAAAATCGATAAGATGATAAAAATAACTGATAATTTCAAAAACTAATATTGTATTCGTAATCAGCATGCTCGATCACCCCCGTGTGCCAACTCCCAGCCCCGTAGCTTGAACTTCGTCAAAAAATCGATAAATTTGGTAGAAGTAATGTACGTATTTTCATAAAGGATATTGAAACCTGCTCAACATCCATTATCGTGAACCCCTCTGCCAAATCCCGGTCCAGCTCAAATTTTGAAAATCAATAAACTCCTCCAGAGTGAAGCCAACCTCCCACAAAAACAAGTTTCCATACTGGAAAACAACAGACACGAAAACACCATCGACCAGAAAAACACCATCGAGGACGTACAGACAGCATCCACCAGCGTACAGACAAGTACACCATTCGGTTTTAGTTTTATATATATAGAAGGATGACAAAACCAATTGGTGATTGCATTGCAAGTCAGTAACGGGTGATGTGAACATTGCTGTGAGTGTAGCTCCGGATACTTGGAGTAGCAGCACCTCTTTTTTGTAACTTTCCTGTAAATACAAAACACTCCTAATGCCTACGTGACTCAGCCGCACGTTTAAAAACTTACTTGGACATCCCAGAAAACCAAGCACGCGTTGACGAATTCGTCTGTTCAGTATAATAATAAAATATGCGTTCGAGAAGATTAGGATATCTAATGAATGAGGAATTATTTTAGATATCAATATGGAGGATTTAGGATTGCAGTATATAAAAACCTAGAAATAATTTGTAAAACAATGAACTGTACCGGTACAAGCTGGAACACAACAATCATATTACTGGAGCTGATACTTTACTGCAAGCAACGAATTTCGTTCTGTTGAAGTAAAATAAGCACAATTGTGTCAACGAAACGGAAATCATCACTTGGAGAAAATTGGTGCTATACGAGAATTGCTATATGAATCATTTCCCTCGAATTACTAAAGGAAACGCTAGCTACGCATCACAGGAGGCCACCCCTATCATGGAAAGTTGAAAAATGCAAAAACAAAACTATGCTAGTCAAAGAATTAAGAATTGGAAAAAAGTTCAAATGATTGAAAAGTACTAGGAGTGATTCACATGTACTCATGTATCAACTCACATACAAACCAAAAACGATCGCCTCCACAGCGAAATCTAGAAGTGCCAGAATGAGCATATTCTTTTCCGCACTACTATAGTTGGTGTTCCTTGTGCGAATGCAAAGAACGGATACGGAGGCGATATTAACTGCGAGTGAAAGTAACGTAAACAAAAACATGAAACTCAGCAGCTCTCTCATGATGATAGCCAACGTAATCTGGAGAAAAGACTTGATTTTTGGAAGAAAATGCTTAAACAGATTACATTATCAACGACGATAGAGAAGCTGTCCTTGACTTTGTCTTCCCCAAAGTAACATTTTGTTATGAAGAGTTTATAAGTCGAAATTAGCGGAGTCAATATAGTCACAACAATACTTGCTGGAAAAGCAAATTTCCATATCTGGAAAATTTATTTTATCGAGAATTCCTGGATTAGGAAAAAAACAGGAAAATACATGGCTAGTCCCCTTATTCCGGAATAAAATCGAAATGTCAAGTACCAAAATACATTTTTTCTGCACGTGCAGAAGAACGTACCATTATATGCGTTGTCGGATGTGTCACAATAGTCATTCGGTAAAGTGATATAAAGAAAGTCATATAAACTTGCATGAATACTGCGTGAAATGTGCAGGCGTGGGTCTAAAAATTGTACGTCCCTATTTTATACAATCATTGAGTTTAACATTACAAGGGTGAGTTAACATTTCCGTAACTCATTTTTCTACTTTGGAACTCATTATTGTAAGTTTAAACACGCAGATGGATATGAAGTCGTCCAGAATTTTTTTTCTTGTTCTAATTCGTCAAACCTCACAATGCAGCAAAAATCGCGCGGCTTGGTTTTTCCTCATTTAGTTTTTTCCTCCTTTTCTGATTTATACGCTTTGGCCGCCTTTTTGTATCAACGTCATAGCTCCGATCTTGCTTTATACCCATATATCTTGATTTTTCCAAGTTTTCCAGATTTTTAGAATGCAAGAATAGTCACGTAGAGCTGATTTTTAGCCACCATGCTTGAATTATTGTGTATGTGGAGTCAAGCTTTCGGATAAAGAATTCAAGGAAAGATGATAAGATCTCGTGAGCGCACCATTATTGGATCCTGACCCTCTCACCGGTTTGGCTATTTGCATAGTAAGTTTTCAGATAACAATACTCTTCGTGTTTTAGCTGCTGTTGTATGTGTGCATCTACTAAAAACAGAGAACCTCAAACAAGTGATGAGTAGAATTTTGAGAAGCAGAAATGAGGTAAAATGCGATGTCCTATAGACCAAGAATTTTACGTCTGCGCAAATTTTCTTGGAAAAATTTATGGCAAAATTTTCTCAAATTAGTAAAATTTGGTGTATAACAGAACTGATAAATGATAAACTCAGATTATCTCTTCGCAACAATCATCTGAAACATCTTAAGAAAACGTGAAGAAGGAAAATGCCAAAAAATTAGTTCCTTAAGAAAATTGATTTTTTGACATTATTTTCCAAAAATCATGACTTTTCAAAGAACACCTCGATCAGCGCGAATTTCGCTCAGCTAGAAAGATAGGATTAAAAAACCTAGGATACTGCATGTTTTGGATTTTATGGCACAGTTCTGGAATTTTTAACGGGCTTGCCTCAAAATTCCGAAAGTGAAGTGATTTAATTTTCCCAATTTTATCTCTGCAATCAAAGCTTAGTAAAAGTCAAGCAAGGCCCTTGGAAAGTATATGTCTTGCTCTTCCTGATATCATTTTTGTTGTGCAAAATTTTTCCAAGAAAGAGAAGTAACAATTTTCTGAAAATGGTGCGAACGAACTTTCGGTTCAACCTAATGTATAGATCTAAGTTATAATAAAGGGCTAGAGTTGTTTGTGTGTCTGTGTGTCTGTCTGTAAAAGATTCATAGTGCGAGTTCCAGCAAAGGTCTTGAGCAAGAATCTTGGGCATAGCATTCTATCAGCATGTAGGTCCACCGCAAAAGCTTAAGCCTTAAGCTCGCCCGCAAAGTTGGGTTTGTATCCCCACTTTTTGCAAAGTTGTGGATGTGCTTGGCAAGTAAGTGTGCAAATCATGAATTTTAACCTAAAAATGATCAAGGGTCTAGTACTTTACGAAAACGGCCCCCGAAAAGAATTGGTTGCGTAAATGATCAATTTGCCAAGGTTCCAGCATAAGACGGTTTCCGCATAGAAATGTAGCTTATGGTGATCATTGTCACAGACCCACCCAAGTTTGCGTTAGTTCTCCCGCGGACAGTTTTATCCACGCCAAATCACCGATTTTTTTAAAATAAAAGTTTTCGGAATGAGTAGTTGTTTACATTTTCTTGTGGGCACTGCGTAATGTGTCTTAATGTCGTCACTATGCGAATACGAGCAAGGCATATAAATGGTACAACCAGTACAAGCCCTGCGAAGCAGAGGTAACGCACTGATTATCCCGGCTGTTCTCCTGCCGTTGGTTAATCCGCTCAAGTACAACCACTATTTTAGGTCTATCGGGAAAATGCTGAATCGTGCATGGCAGTCATTTCTACTGAGTTGTCTCATAATTTTTTTGCAATTTAAACTTTTAGCCGCAATAAGTCATGTTGCTCTTATGTTTTATGTAGGTATCAGCACACCGTTCAGTGTGTGTATTAAATTTGCTCCACATCAGATTTGAAGCCAGAATCTCTAATGTTCCTAAAAACTAAGACCCTTAAAAGGCTAGAAGTTTATGCTGATACTTACAAAGGTTCGTAACCATAATCTGTCTAAGTGAGAACAGCCTAGCACCGCTTTGGTAATGCTTGAAATTTCTTATCATCTCGATTTCTAGCTAAGGAAAACATACAGCAACTGTGTCCATTAATAGTGATGTGGAGATTATATGCGTGAGAAAGTTGGGAGTCCGTAGGAATTTTTCAACAAAGATACGACTATTTTTCGATTTCGGGCATTGGGAACATTTTAGATTCTGGCTTCAAATTTGATGTGGAGCAAAATAGACACATCACTCAGAGGCCATTTTGCAGAACTTGCTTTCTATCGAAAGGTGTGCCGATACCTATATACAATTGTAAAGGTCAAAATTGGAAAAATCATGAGATGAACTCTAAATTCTTTTTCACAAGCTGAATTTCCAAATAACCTAAGGTCCGCTCAAGTACAATACTCACAATTGTACTAATTGCCGTGGGAATATTCAGATAGAAGACACTCAGCCAACTTTCGGTGCTTATGTTGCTGGCCAAGTTCACATAAAAGAGGTTCACAAACGCGAGAATACTCTAAAAATGCACTGGTTACACAGAATGAGAATGTAACATCGCTAACCAAATTAGCTTGCATAGTAAGTAACAAATAGAAACATCTTGCTGGTGGAACTGCGGACCTCCTTTCTTTAACAAGAGCTAACAACACGAAAATGTACAGTACCATTGACGGGATACAATAAATTGTTCTTATTATGAAAGTTACACTTTCCCCTAAATGGATAGATGCAAGAATGTACTATCTAAATCAGAGCACTAACCTGCCATGGATCAGCTATGTTTGATTACCGAAACGATTTGTGCCTCTGCTATGAAGCTTTTTACCGTAATAAGGATAGTCGTAGCTGTTTCGCTTATCGTATCTGAGTATGCAGTCAACACTGTGTATCTACTCAGAAAATATGTAATCAAAAGCTTCAACACAATGGCAGCTTATTCGCAGGCTTTTCCCTTAAAAGCTTTATTTTTCACCTGCTGCACTGACAAGCAGCACAACATAAACGGGCTTGTGTTCCATGTTGCCTCTCAGACATTTGCTTATAAACACCTGATTTGTCGAATTAATCTCAGTGACTCACTGGCTGCACCTATATCGTGTTTTGGATTTAGGCTCTTGGTAATATTATTTACTAGTCGGGTACCTTCTGCAGACCCACAAGTAATTTGCCCCTTATTCCCACTAACGCTAATCCAACGTGCCCAATTTTGGCTCCCGTTATCAAAGCGTATGCAAATGCAAGAGATAACACTTTTTAGGTCACAGAGCCGTCACACCGGTAGCATACCCTTTGCTCAAACAATCAAGGAATTCAGTAAAAGTGGATGGATAAGCAAATGCCTTTTCAAAGTTACCCTGACCCAACCGGTATTTCGATTGGTACTTTCAGAGCAGCGAAAGTTAGTGAAGTTGATAAAAAGATTCGAGTTTATTCCGACGTAATCTCGGTGTCGCATACCTCTACGCAGCTTCAAACCTCTGAAAAATGCAAAAACAACGATGTGACGAAGGCAATCAATTTACGTAAACCATTTCACTGAGAGCATGCTCAGATCCTGTTCACACAGCTCAAGTCTTCGGTAATCAAGTGTCCAAATGATATGTGCGCATTTTGGTACGGATCTCTTCAGATATGGAATTCTTCACAAAACATATTCATTGCAGCTATGTCTGATGACATGACTGTTAAATCCATCCGAGTTTTTTTTGTCAAAGCGGGAACTCCTGACAAAATAGATTTCTTTGAGGTTACCAACTCTCAATTTGAGATCTTTTGCAGTAGTCCGAAGGTTCATTCACTCACTGAATCAACATCCTTTTGCAGTTGTGTTAGTGCAACGATTTTGATGTGAACAGTCTCTGCAATAAATTTGGAAAGAAACTCCAGGTCAAGGACGAACTGCATGAAAAAGTGTTGTATGCTCATTTTGAAGTTATGCACTACACAGTGGAAATTTTCTAAATATTCTGGACGGTTCTCAATGTCTGTTCACTTGAATCCCCCTTCCCCTTCTCAAAAAAAATGTCTGCTAGGAAGTCACAGAAATAAATTGATGACAGAACCTGCTGATGTGCTCAGATGCTCTCGCTAAACCGATGCTGAATCAATCTTTCTCTTTCGGTGAGATTCCTTCTCATTGGAAGAAAGCCATTGTTACAGTTGTGCTTAAGAATTCAAGCTGAAAGCGTTGCCGAATTTCGCCCTGTAGTTCATAATTCTGCATCCAGATGATGGAAAGAATTATCAGAAGTAAACAGTTACCGTGGTTGGAGAGGTTCTTGCTTTGCCCGAGCAAACTCTGAGTCTCGAAAAAATCTGTGGATAATGTATACT